TTTGATTTTAATACTTCTGGTGAAAATAAACCTTCTTACCATCATTGTAGCATATTTATTTCGAAATATTACTGAGTTTAGATTTCTTTTCTGTCATTGAATTTTGATTTATCTTTGTGATTTTCTTTGCCATTTTCTCTAGAATATGTTGCAGGTCTTGAGTCATTTATCAATTAGGAACATGTGAACACATCAAAATTCAAAGATTTAGAGCTCAAGTAATTTTTAAGATCTAAACCATAGAGAATACTATTTTATTTATTTATTATTTTCAATAATTTTTTAGAATGGAAAAATTATATATTGAGATTGATCATCGTCCTTGTGGATGACCTGAGTTCACCAAAATCTAATTACTTTTTTTTGAATTTAAGAAAATATTTAAAATTTGATCATTTTGTTTATTGTAACAAAACTTATATTAGTTAGGCATTGTGACAGGAGCAATGTGCATAAGGGAGACTTGTAGTGTAGTGTGGGATCAATGATTAGTCTTTGAGTGAGAGATTATATGGATGTGTCGATAATGATCATCCTAAATGTACAACAAATACATGAATTATCTTTGTGGTGAGTTTATAGGAAGTCTAAAGGCATTTCGTTTGTCCCTACATGGTAGCCCTAACCCCTGCCATTGTAATTGCAGATAAATGTAGAATGATAGTCTCTCCCCTTTGAACCTTTTGTAAAGTCTGGCAACGTATGAGCTGCTCTAATTCCTAACACGTTGTGGCTTTCCCTCTACTCAGATTTGATGTAAGGTGAAGTCTATTTTTTATGGGTTCAGTTTTGGGCCATCTAATGGTAATTTACAAAGATCAAAGATCATGTGACTTGATGTCTCATCGGTACCTCGATTTAAGCTTCATAAAATGTAATTGAATCTTGACGAACTCACTTGGAGCAAATTGCCAGTTTTTTCCAACTTGCAGCCAACTAGGCTATAGGATCTTTGTATCTTTTCACATTAATAAGAAAATTTGGAGGTTGTAATTTTTTGTGCTCTTTCTTGCATTATGTTCATCTTTCAAATTTGTATCCAAATGCATCCCTATAGTTTTACTAGATATTTAGCCCTAAAAATTATTTCCATGATCAGGTATTTGAAATGTGCTCATTCTTTGAATGTGAGACCTTTTCTTAATTTGGTTCCTAAATAGAGATTTATCAACAAATTGTGATAATAAGCTTTATGATAACAACATCTTAGAATATATAATGGTAATTTCAAAACTTAAATTACCAAAAGGCTGATTTGAACTACATGTACTTAATTAAATACTCTAATTTTTTCTAATTAAATATTATATTTAAGTATTCTAATTAAATTCATGAAATCTATCTTATGATTAACAACTTGGTCCATGATCAATAAGAGTACTTTAAACTTGATATCAAAATCAACATTTGAACTAATGCAATGTGCATAATTTGGTGATGTATTTTGAATTCCAATGATTAAAAAATAATCAATATGTTGAATAAGCTCTATAAGATACATTTGATTCAAGATCATGAATTCATATTTGAGATTTTTGAACTTATGTCAATTAAACTCTTCAATCTTTCTATTACTAAAATAAAAATCTTATACCTTTGTACTTGAATATAAGAGATCGTATATTTTTTGAAATTGTATGACTAGTTGAAACATCATGGGAAAGGTGAATTCTGATTTCTACAAGTTTTGGTGATCCTTGTGTTCTAAATTATCTTCTTACACAAGTCAATCTATATGTTGATTCAAGTGCTTGTGCATCAACAAACTATGTAAGCAACCACATATGTGAAAGATTCTTCACACCAATAAGACCTCTCAGCACTCTCTCACACAAAATACAAAGTTATTATACTAGTTCATCCCACACCCAAGTATTGAGTCTCAAAGGAAATTATCATATAGATTTAACTATTTCTCTTAGGAATACACTAATTTGTATTGGATCAGCTACCCAATACTCTCAAGTTCGTCTGTGAAAAAACAATAATGCTTTTGGGCCAAATATATTAACAAGCACCTTATATTTTCACCAAATTCATTAATTACAATGACACCATTGACTGCAGTTGCATAATTGTTTTATGGCCAGATCATGTTGATAAAAAAGATGCTACAGTTCGTTCATTATTGAAGCATACAGCATGAAGATGATAATAGAGGTCACTAAATCTGTGAATATATTCGGATTATTTTGGTCCATAACTCTTATATAATATATAGGCTTAAATGAGATACTGATTTTTTATTTTCTCAAATCTCTAATATTCGAGCTGCTCATTCAAATTATTGTCATTTTCAAAGTATGCAATTCTTGTGTTTTGATCTTCTAATATTTTATCCTCTCTATTTTTTATGTCGCTTGAATTCAAATTTAAATCTTAACCTTCTAACTTGATAAGGAATAACTTGGTATTTTTTTGGCTCTGGATCATTAGATTTTGTTCCACTTTAAACCTATGTACTTGTCTAATGTGTCATAGTCAATTTAAACTTTCCAAAAATGAACCTTCAATTTATTTTTTATTTTCTTATTTATTTAATACTTATAATTATTTGGATAATCAGCCAAATATTATGTGAGAATAATATATAATTGATAAATACTTAAACACTATGGTTAGATCATCATGAATATAATCTGGATAAAATATTTTACTTCCATGAATATATTGACACATGGATCATTTATAATGTGTTTCAACACATGCTATACGTTCATCTAATCAACTTTAATTCGTAGATCTTTACTCAATTGATAATTTATCCTCAAATATTCCTAAAATAAAAATATGAGTTGAACTCAAGGCTGAAAGCATTAGATTAAATCATTATTTCGAAAATCATAATAAACAGACAAAGGATTCAATACAATTAGTTTGTTGAATATGTTGAAAATTTAATTCACATAACTTCACCAAATAAATCAAAACTCAATTTTATTCTTTATCAATCTAAAATACAAGATATTAACTTTTCCATAAATTTTTTTTTTCAATCATCAAAATGAAGAAGATAAATGCTATTCTCACCTTCCTCATCAAAAAAATGCACCTAAGAATATATTGAGCAATCAATGAAAGCAACCTCCCCCCTATTTTCATACCAACTAAAATTATTTTAAATTTTTAAATAAAAATGAAGAGAAAATGCCATATTAAGTAAAATATATAGAAAAATGTCAACTAGGGCTAATTTCTTTATATACTAGAGAATGTGTAACATTTACCATGTGTCCTTTTACCCATTCATATTGGTGTTATATTATAATGAATGAATCAAACTTCTACCTGCTCTCCAATTTTTTTGATCTAAACCTAGCCTACATTGAACCTTTGTCAAAAGGTGTACTTGATGGGTAGTAAGCCTTAACAAGGCATTACTATAAACACAAAAAATCAATAATGGGGGAACTAGTTTACTTTGAACAATAGGTTAAATGATATAGACGTTGACATTTAAAGTAAATGTAACCAATAACATTTAATTTGGTATAGACGTTGACATTTAAATTAATCATGTTGAAAAAAATTCCTGTTATTTCACATTAAGATATCTATTCATTTCAATGATCCCCCTAAATGTTCTTATATATATCTGAAACAATAGGTTTTTATATGGATATTCTATTTTTAAAATTCATGAACGTTTAGTTGATATCTATTAATTTAATACTTTGTATTTTAGAGAAAATTTTACTAAAACATATTTGTTCCCTCTTCTCTCACTCCTCCAACACTTTTCCTCCTTCTAAGTTACTTTCTCTTCTTAGACAAATAAAATTTCAAGATGTCTTCAACATCTACATATCATTTTAAAATGAAAACTCAAAGCGATAGAGAAGGATTACTAGTGTTGTATTATGTTTCATTCCCACTCAATGATTAAACTCACAAACCCAACTTTGTAGGGCCTGGAACTTAGACTTATCTTATTGGGTTTCTTTGATGAACAAACAGCATTAAAGCAGAGGCTATTGAATGAATCTATGGTAGATATTGTAAACTTCTCTACTTAATTTTAAATGAATTCACAAAATGCTCAATTGCTGATAATGTTGATGCTTTTCATCCCCAAATTTAGTTAATAGAGATTATAAAGAATGATTTCTTGAATTGTATTCCAACCATATGAATAAAATCACAAAAAAATGTTCAATGGTCCATGAATTGGCCTGATCTCATTTAATTTATTTTTTCATACACAAACTAAGTTAAAATTTAAGCTATTGAGAATGATCCCCTATACTATATCCCAACACATTTTAAAAACTAAACCAGCATTCTAGGGACTACGGTGGGAACTCTTACGTTTTTTTCTTCCATCAATAAACATAGGGAAATGGAAGACTAGAAATAATTACTCGTTTTGCATTTAAACATATTCAAGAAATTCTCAAACCTAACATTGTATGACTACAACTGAGACTTCTCCTGCTAGGTTACTTATCTCGTCAAGAAATTAGGTAAAACTAAATATTTAGCGGTCTACATCCTTGATTTCTCTCACCAGGTTTCTACTAGCAAAAACAGATGAAGCGATACAGTTCACTTGGGTTTTTCTCCTGACAACGCCTCCAATCACGTTGAACTATGGTTATATGAGACGGGTTAGTGCTCATGTAATTTAGGTTGTCAATTGGCTCGCCTTTAGGGCAGGCCCCGTGCTATATTCACCGTAAAAGAAACTAAATGCATGCCCAACATATCCTCGGAGCTCCTGAGAGAGTCTGGACGGAGCTCCTCTCTCTTTAAGCCTCGGAAATGGAAGAACAACGAAGTAAAATCCGGCAAATCGATGCAAAAGAATCCCTGTAGGTCTCCTCCTTAGTTGGAAAATAATCGCTGAAGAAACCAGAAAAATTAAGTCAAGTTATCAGTACACAGATGCACCCGAAATTTTCAAGATCTACTGGAATTAAAATGCAGCTAATGGAACAGTCTAGGATCGAGGATCTTCATGTTTTTTCTCTTGAACCCGATCGCGGGTCTTCGTGAAGTCTTTAACGATTATGGAGGGGATTAGGGCTGGAGGGAACCTTCCTTTTGCTGCTCTCGACGTCCCTGGCCGGCATCGCAGTGGGTGTGGTTCTGGCGGCAGAGGAAGAGCTGGAGACCGGTGGTGACGGCCGCCTCCAGTAGAGTACCGGTTTCACCCCGTAACGCTTCCTTGATGAGCCAGTGGAGCTTGTCGAAGTTCCCACCTCCCAGACTGGAGACGGAAGCGGCCACCTCTGTAGAGCCCAGATGGACATCAGCAATACCAGGCACCGTAAAGTCCGCAAGAGTTTCAAGGAAGGCATCACTGATGGATCACGTTCGCTACGCTATCGTGTTGTTGTGTCGACTTTCTGTGCACTGGAGGGAGAGAGAGAGAGAGTGGAAGAAGAAGAAGGAAAGGGCGGAGAGAGAGGGAAAGATCGGAGGAAGTACGGTACAATATATATTGGGAGAGAGGAGACCTGGGGAAAAGAGAAACAAGAGAGAGTCAGAGAGAGAGAGAGTACTCAAGGCTTTGGGATCTGGGGAGTGATTATGAAATAAGAGAGCTGGTAGAGAGAGGCAATAGTGAACCGGCAGAGTTAATGGCTTGCGTAGACAGACGTAAGGAGCAGTGTGTCGCTAGTCACAGAAGATCTGAGAGAAAATATATAGAGAGAGAGAGAACACTGGGAGCTTCGGGATTTGGAGAGAGATACAGAGAGCGAGAGAGAGAGAGAGAGAGGGAGAGAGAGAGAGAGAGAGAGAGAGAGAGAGAGAGAGAGAGAGAGAGAGAGAGAGAGAGAGAGAGAGAGAGAGAGAGAGAGAGAGAGAGAGAGAGAGAGAGAGAGAGAGAGAGAGAGGAGAGAGAGAGAGAGAGAGAGAGAGAGAGAGAGAGAGAGAGAGAGAGAGAGAGAGAGAGAGAGAGAGAGAGGGAGAGAGAGAGAGAGAGAGAGAGAGAGAGAGAGAGAGAGAGAGAGAGAGAGAGAGAGAGAGGGAGGGAGGGAGGGAGGGAGATAGAGAGAGATAGGGAGGGAGGGAGGGAGGGAAGGAGAGAGCTGAGGGGAGGAATGAGAGAAACTGAAGTAGCAGAGCCGGTAGAAAGTGGTAAGAAATCAATAGAGCAACGAAAGTGTTGTGATATATCTCTAGGGAGAGAGGAAGAGATAGGCGAGCGGCCAGCAACAGGCCAAACGGGTACTGTCTTCCTCTGCAAAACATGGCCCCCTCGGAGCGGATCCAAGCAAACCGATGTTCAAATAAACGTCAAGTTTTACCCTAAAGCTGTTGTTCAGATTACTTCCGATCTTCCTATCACAACCAGGTCCCACCTCGTCCGTCCGATCCCTGTTATAATACAGGGAAGCGTAGGTTTGGCTCATGTCACATCCTTGTTACTCCAATATAATAAACTGGACTCACTGCAATGGGGAGCTGTCATCTGTCGCCATTTGGTGTTCAAGCTGCGTTTTTGGAGTATAAAAGCTGGTTTTTTGCGGAAGTTACGAATAATTATACATAAAAATATCAATAAGAAATTGACATAACCACTAAAGAAAAATTGACCTATTTTTTAAAAACTCCAAATTTCTTTAAATAAGTGACTACTTGGTAATTTGCCTAGTTGCACCACCTTTGATATATATGATCAAAGTTCTTCCTTTTCATAACCATATAAGGTTAAAGCAAAAAAGACCTAAAAAGAAAAGGCCTTCTCTAAGGTCGTAAAGGACCCAAGAATGATCATGAATGACCCTCGCAACTTGTAAACACTGAAACTATGGGCCATATTACATGGTAAGCCATATCATATAGGAATTTCTCGAAATAGACACTAGATGCCTCAAGATTTCGAGCAAGACATCTAAATCACAGATATTCCATGGCCACCTTCGATCCAGCATTCTGCGTCTAACCCTTTAACAAACTTTCTCTATGCATGATCAATGATCTGTTCCCCTCTAACTTTATCAAGCGAAAATCATTAGTCCTGACTGAATCCAAACCAGGTAGCGACAACCAGCTAAATTTTCCTTGGCAACATAGCACTAGATGACCACTTAACTCTGAAATGCCTAACTTTTGTGCAATAGACAATGGTTGTACTCAAGGATAGTAAAATAAAACAAATACTTTCCTCCACAATAATATCTATAATTGATTACACTTGGATCGCACAACCCTTGAATTATTGAGAAGTCAAGTACCCTTCTTTGGGAATGCTCTCTTGTCATCAACAATAATACTGCAGATTTATCTTTTGAAGAACTTGGCATTCAAGTGGTTCTTAAGCAATTAAATTAGTTAAAAAAATAAAATAGTAGTGAATGAGGAACTAAAAGTTGGTAACCCTGTTTGAGTGCATCATCACCTTGCTGTTTACTTTAAAATAGGAAAATGAAAACTAGGATTTTTATGAGAACAGTGGACTCCATATAAGTCATCCAAGGCTAAAAATAAAAGACAACACCACCTAAATCCAAAGAAATATTTTTCAGTTGTCATAGCTCGTAACAACCAAATGATTTCTATTATGGACTACAGGGCAAACAATAAGAAAACAATCTACAATCCGATTGCTGAACTGGAAACCTGTTGCAGAAAAGAAGTGATAAAAGAGAAGATTTAATTGTCAAAATAATGAGTTTCCATTACCAAACACCACTAGTTACTGTGGAGTAACCTACAGAAATAACTTTAGGCAACTTTGATAGCTGTCACGTGGTATTTAAAAAACATTACACTGACTACAAGCACTAAATTTCTGCCTATGAATATTCACATATTTGACATTAAATACTGGGAATTATGGATAGATGAAAATTTCCTCCATTATTGAGCTTTAATCAAAGAATGAAGCAAAATTCGTATCTAAATTCACATCAAAGAGTATTAAAGTATATCTTCAATCAAAAATTTATTTTTTAAAAAATTTAGTATTTCTTTTGAAACTTAGGTAAAAAATATTAACAAACAGATGTCAACGAAAATAACAGAAAATGAGGTATAACAGATTTTTTAGATAGGAACAAAATAAAATTTTCAAAAATAGAAGAAAAGTATGAAGAAAATTAACCATGTGTTTTTCTGAGTATGAAACAAAGAAAATGGAAAAAAAGTAACATTGTTAAATAACGATGAGGGGCCTTTTTCCTACTGTCTTATTAATAACATTGGTTTTCCTTCAGATAACGCAAATCATCTTTTATAAGGAAACTTCGAATGCACTCAAAATGTGTTAAGAACAATCTCAAAGAAAGTCTTATGAAGAATAATTTATTCTATTCATTTTCAAATGACTATTTTTAATGTAAAATATTCTTATAAAAATTGACCTAACTGCTGGTTATCAGTTGGTTGAGTAATATGTCCCAATAGCTTCAACATAGCTCAGACCAAACGGTCACTTTCCAGATATCACACACCCACTATGTATTTGGTGAACCCCAAAAGTGACTTGCACATAAGAGTTTATATCAATAATAGTCCCGGTTTTATTGCTGAAGAGTGATCTATGATTAAAAAAATATTAATGCAGCACATTTTCAATTAGTTTTGAGTTGGGTGATACCATAACTTTTTAATCCACTACAGCTGCAAAGTTCAATGACAACGACATGATCAATGCAACACTAATAGACAAAAGTTCTGTTCTTCTAAATGTAAAGATGGGATCCATTGACTGTGATTGTTGATGTCCTTACTCTTGCATAAGCTATGATGTGGGGTATCATTACTAGGAAAATCAGATAGATGGATTCAGCTATATGTGAGCAATGATTAGTGGATTCAGCTACATTTACACCTATATGTGAGCAGACACAATTAGGAGATAATATCACCTTCCTCCAGGAACCTCAGAAACTTAATCATTGCTCATTGCACAAGGATGTTGGGAGATGCCAATAACATGAGGTTTTCTTCATCAGAAGTATGAATGACTCCCTTTCCCTCTTTGAAAATCTATCAGAGAATGAGAGAATCACTTTCTTTAGAAAACACAGGAAGTTTGGTGAAAGTCAAACACAAAATGCTGGGAGAAGCACTTTCTGTGGAAAACACAAAGGAAGTTTTGTATCAGTCAAACACAACAGAGGCTGGAAGAAGCACTAACAGATAGGAACCTCGTGGTTCTTCATAAGCACTTTCCAATTTGACATTAACAAGTCTCATGTCCTGAAGTCTTGAAGGGTATCAATAAACCCTATTGTTAAGATTGATTGATAGACTTGAAGTAAATAGAAATATAGTAGTTTGTTTTGTTGGGGATGATGAGCGTTCTAATTTCTCCTTCTTGTGCAGTAGAAGTCTCAAACAAATTGTACCACAAAGAGAGAGAGAGGGATAGAAGCAGAGGGGTGATAATAAAAAATACACCAGATTTACATGGCTTGGAGAAACCTCCTATGTTGATGATCACATAGACTTAGCTTTATGAGAACTGTTTGTTACATCCCTTGAAGAAACCCCTTTGTGCTCACACAAAGATTTGAGCCCTGAAATAAAGATGGCAGTGCTCCCTCCTCTTAGCATAAGATTACGAAAAAACTTATTGGGAAAAACGACATGTATGTCCCTAAAATCAAATTTTGCTCTGCATACTTGCCAAAGAGCCTACTAGAGTCTCATAGAGCCCAAAAGTCAAATAGTCTCACAAATATCGTAATCTCCCACTTAGAGACTAAACTTCAAAAGAAGGCAAGATTTTTCTTGATCTTATGTGATGAATTCAATTAGTTAATTCTAGAGACCAATTGAGGCCATGCATAGCAATTTTTCCATGATGACATCATCATCAACATGTATGTTGGATTCTTCAATATTCTGACCTTTTCAAGTACCAGAATTTCATCCTCCGACAAGCTTTGGATTAATTTCAATTAAATATACCTCATCTTAGAGTGAAACATTGGATTCATAACTATGTATGGGACTTTAACTGTCAAAAAATAGCACAGTGATTTTGTCATGGACTAGAGACACCAATGATCCCCTATTTATTAAATGAGTTGTTGTGTTAACATCTGCCTGAAAAGATTTTGGCAGCCCAACATATGATCTCATACTCCTAGCTCATTCATTTAACATTATATTCATCAATTTAGTAATGTCATTTTCTGAGGAATGTTCATAGTTATTTCCTCCACCTAAATCCCATGCTCTAAATATAATTTATTGAATTCTTGGTTGTCATATTCACCACCATTATAAAACTATAGTTATTTGATTTTGAGGACAAACTTAAGCTCAACATGAAATTTTTATTTATTATAATTTCAAATTTTCTTATTTATTTTTCATAAAATAAATCCATACTATCTTA